ACTAAAAAAAAGTGAGACAATCAGGAAAATTTGAATACCGTCTTAGATATTTGATGATATTAAAGAATTAGTGTTAATATACTAGATCTGATAATGGAATTGTGGTTATACTTAAAGAAAATGGTATTGATCTTTCAGATATGCATCAAAATATCTTGAGATAAAATAATATGATATCTGAGATTTGCTTGAAATAATTCAGTGGGAAATGATAGGGTGGTGGATGGAAAGTAGGTGTGAATATAAATGAAACAAAATTTACTTGAGGTTATAATTGTTGAAGCTGAGTGATGCATAGATAATAAGTAGTTTATTATGCCATTTACTTTTGAATATATTCACAATTTTTAATAAGAAAAATTATAAATCTCATTTTGAATATGTAAAAACGATGTCTAAAGCAGGATTCCTTGGAAAAAATGTCTAACTGCAGATTTGGGGAATTGTACAAAAATTTTTATCATTCCAGAAATGAAGAAAGTTTTTGAAGACTTTTAGGGTCATGTTGCAGGGACTAAGTAGGCTAATTGAAGAGGTTCCCACAAATGAAAATAATGGATCTAGACAGTGATTATCAATGGCAGCTAACAACTCAAAAGGAGAAACAACTAGATATTAAATGCATCATAATGGAGGTAAACAATACCACCTAAGAATCATTCTTACAAAAAATGAGTACCTGAAATGATCAAGCTTCTAGCTCTAACTATAGAAAGTACAGGAGACAGAGGAACATATTCAATATCATTATAAGGAAGGAATTAGCAAAGTCCAGACTGAGAAGCTCTTGACAAATGACCTAGGCTCTTCCCCTCAGATAAACTGAAGGAGAGAAAAGGTTAAGGAGTGAAGAAAGTTTAAGAGAGAGAGTGAAAGCAGAAGAGAAAGAGAAAATCTATAGTTCACAGGAATCTTAAGAAACATTTTAACAATTAAATGTTATGGACATCTTTTGGATTTTATTCAAAAAGTATTTTGAAAAAGCTGACAATTAGGGAAATTTGAACACTAGATATTGGAAAATATTAATTATTGTCAATTTTTTAGTATTTAATGTTATTCTGGCTTTTTAAAAACAAAGTTCTAATCTTTCACTAATACACTCTGAAGTATTGATGGATATAATGATATGAACTGGGATTTATTTTACAATAACCCAGAAGTTGAGTTAGAGCATAAATAAGTAAGATTGACCACAAGTTGATAATTGCTGAAACTTTGAATGGACTATTTGATTCTTTCTCCCTTTGCACATTTGAAAGTCACATTATAAAATGTTAATAACAGCAAAACCCCAAAAGCCAAGGCTCAAAGACATTTAGGGACTTGCCCAGTACTGTCCATGCCATTATGAGCAGTTCAGACCTGAAACTGTACTCTCGATTTCCAATCAAATACTCTTTCCCATATGACAAGCTGTTTTGCAGGGAAGCCAAACTTCTGGGATACCAGATACCTTCCCAAAGCTTGACGAGTCAATGGGTGAACTGGGAAATACGCCATGGTGCTATCAGATGCTCATACAAGCAGCTCATCCGCAAGCAGCCAAGTGGCAAACTGGGATTGACTAGGAGTGCAGAGCAGCTGTTGACTTTTGAAGTATTGCCCGGAGCTCTTGGCTTTTCCCCATTTGATCTTTAAGGGAGCTATTTCAAAAACAGGCCAGCCTTCAGAATGCCCAAACATAGTTGAAAGGCTGCTTAGTTTGTACCTAGACTTTTCTTGATTGCATCATGACAGTGTTTTTACTGAGATTTATGTGGTAAGACCAACATGATGTCTCATGATGCTAGCTAGGGTTATAGGGCCTGGGCATCAGAGATTAGAGGATAGTCAGGTTGGAATTTATTTATTATTATTATTATTTGAAATGGAGTTTCACTTTTGTCACCCAGGCTGGAGTGCAATGGTGTGATCTCAGCTCACTGCAACCTCTGCCTCCTGGGTTCAAGTGATTTTCCTGTCTCAGCCTCCCGAGTAGCTGGGATTACAGGTGCCTGCCACCATGCCTGGCTAATTTTTGTATTTTTAGTATAGACAGGGTTTTACCATGTTGGCCAAGGTAGTCTCGAATTCCTGACCTCAGGTGATCCGCTTATATCCACATTTACTAAGTTGGCTGATTCACTGGACACTAAAACTAAGTAATCTTTGATGTGGGTCTGGCATTGCTGAGACACCTGAGCTGGTGAGAAGGTCTGTGGGCACATGAAGAACTAATGAAGATCATACTGAAATTCAGAAAGGTGACAAAATAGCAGTAGTAGCAGTACCCAACCAGTAAAAGGGCAGCAACTCTTTCAAAGTCAGCAAATACTGAACCAATATTTAAATGCAGCTGGCTAGACAGATGCTCGCTGCCATTAAATAGCATCCTTACTTCTGGATTTTGTTACAATGTATTTGGAGGTAGAGGATATCTGTGGAGGGCATTTGTGGGAAAGAAAAGCAAGGCCACATTTTTCTGTTGTCAGTGCGAATATGAATACTCGCAGCTTTTCAAATCGATATTCAAGTACCACGTTTCAGGTGGTTGGTCCCAGAGAACATCTATTGCTTTTCCTGTCCAGTGTCCCATTTGTTTTTCTAACGACATCCCATACTTTCTTTGAAAAACAATCACTTCCCCATCATGTGCAGTGCTGGTAGAGTTATTAATCATATGGGCACCTGAGTCAAGTTTTGGTAATCTCACTCTTGCGGAAGTTTGGATATTGCAGTTGTGATTTACCTCAATAATGGTGTCCTAAAAGAGAGTGGCTATTGATGATCATGCTCTCTAGAGCTCCAAGACTTAGCTACTCAGAAACTTATCTTTTTTTTTTTTTTTTTTTTGAGACAGAGTCTCACTTTGTTGCAGATGCCAGGCTGGAGTGCAGTGGCATGATCTTGGCTCACTGCAACCTCCACCTTGTGGGTTCAAGCAATTCTTCTGCCTCAGCCTCCTGAGTAGCCGGGACTAGAGGTGCATGTCACCATGCCCAGCTAATGTTTGTATTTTTAGTAGAGACAGCGTTTCACCATGTTGGCCAGGATGGTCTTGATCTCTTGACCTTGTGATCCGCCTGCCTCGGCCTCCCAAAGTGCTGGGATTACAGGCGTGAGTCACCGTGCCCAGCCGAGATTCTCTCTTTCCATGCTTGCACAGAGGAAAGGGCATGTGAGATGTGAGTATACAGCGAGAAGGCTGAGGGCATCTTGATTCTGAGCTTCTTACCTCTAGAACTGTGAGGAAATAAATTTCTGTAGCTTTAAGCCATCCAGTTTGTGGTATTTTGTTATGGCAGCCCTGGAAGACTGATACATTCCCTGACGTATTCTAAAAACACAGGCTGTCTCCATATGCCCTTAGGCTCCAACACTGTGATTTGTAGGTAAAGTCAATTTAACATTTTTATCGTTAATTCCAACCTGACAGAATCTCCGTTCCTTCCCTTTCTGTATTACATGCCATTCCCCGCACCCTGCGATTCCTGAGTTCTGTCCCAGTGATGCTTCTGGTGCTGTGGCAGCAGATCACCACTGCTGTGTTCAAGATGCTTAGCTCAGGAAGGTTCCTGGCCTCACCCAGGAAATAATTCAAGGGTGAGCCAGTAGTATTAAACAGCAACTTTTACTGAAGCGGTAGCAGAGGTACTGCTCCTTGCAGAGCAAGGCTACCCCATAGGCGGTGTGCGCAGAGTAGCAGCTCAGACGTAGTTCCACACTCACATTTATACACAATTTTAATTATATGCAAATTAAGGAGCAGTTTATGCAAAAATTTCTAGAATAAGAGTGGTAACTTCTGGGGTGCTGGGTTTTTGCCATGGAAAGGAGCTATAACTTCTGGGCGTTGCCATGGAAATGGTAAGCCGACATGGCACGCTGGTGGGTGTGTCTTATGGAGAGGTGCTTCCTCTCCCACCTGTTTTAGCTAGTCCTCAGTTTGGTCGGGTCCTTGAGCCCCACCTCCTACTTCATTCTGGCAACGTGAATGGTGGTGCTTCCCTGCTCTTAACCTCCCAAACTTTAGGAGTTCTGATCTTGGTGCTTGACAGAGTTCCTTGGCATTTTTTCCATAGTTTTGGATTTATGGACCTTTATTCTGTCAGCTCACCTTCCTATTCTCATTTTTTTATTTTACAACCACATATAGCCTTTTTTTTCCTCAGCTTACACAATCTCTGAGGGTTAGGTCAAAATGTCTCCAACTCCAGCTTCACTCTGTGCTTGGATTCGTTGTGCTCCTTTCTTGAGACCTCTTTTTGTATCCAGCCCTCTATGCAGACTCCTTTCTCATCATGGGTTTTCTTCTGCGGGATTTTATTGTTTTTTCTGCAATCTAACCTCCATTGTCCTCACTTGCACCAGTCAGTATATGTCTTCAACCCAGACTGTGAACAGGGTTCAAGGTCTTGCCCTTGAGTTTGCTGTGACCTGCGCAAATCAGTGGATATATGCTATAAACTGAATGTTCCCCCCAGATTCATATGTTGCAACCTCATCTCCAGCGTGATGATATTTGGAGCTGATGTCTTTGAAAGGTGACTAGGTCATGAGATCAGAGCTCTCATAAATGAGATTATTGCCCTTATAAAATAGATCCCAGGGAACTCAATGGCCACTTCCTCCATGCTGGTGAGGAGTCAGCAAGAGAGCTACATGAGGAAGTGAGCCCTCGCCAGATGCTGAAGCTGCTGGCACCTTAGTCTTGGACTAGCCTCCAGAAGTATGAGAAATGAATTCCTATTGTTTATAAGCCACCTAGTCTGTGGCATTCTGTTACAACAGCCCAAACCAAGGCAATACACTAGTCCCTTCGTCCATAGGTGATACGTTCACAGACTCCCCAGGGGATGCCTGAAACCGTGGATAGTCTATATTAACCCCATATATACTCTGTTTTTTCCTACACATACATAAGGTTAATTTATAAATTAGGCACTGTAGGAGGTTCACAACAATGCCTAACTATAATATGGAAGGAAGAATTGTAACAATATATTTTAATAAAAGTTATATAAATGTATCTTACATAAAGTATCTTATTGTACTGTATTCACCTATTTTTGGACTATGGTTGACTGGATAAATGAGACCACAGGAAACAGAACTGCGGAGAAGGGAGTTTTGAAAGGTAGTTCAAATAGTAGATAGCAGCTGAAGGATTGCCGAAGTTTTGAAGCTATTACAGCGAAGCCTCATCTCCAAGGTTAGCGGAATCCCTTGTGGCAGTTTTACCAATTGGATTTTTAATGTTTCATTCCATTTTAGCTCAGCTTCTAGGACAGAATCTGTGATATAGAGGTGAATAATATATTCAAATGAACGAGGAAGACAGCACTGTCACAGTCACAGGGTCCCAGAAAGGGCCTGCTGCCCTCTCATGCCTGCCACCCATGCTACAGCACCTTCCCCAGACACAGCCTGCCCTTCTTCAGCACTCCCACCCAAACTGCTTTTCATTTCTGTGCCTTTGGCAATCGCTTTCCCTCTAATTGTCTCCAGTATCAGGCAGAAATGTTAATATGAGCTCTTACTCTCTTCCCCTGTTCTCTTGGTTTCTTAGAACATTCTAGAGAGTGTCTAGTCATAGTGACAGCCTGTGTCTCTGTGTTCCTTGCTTTTCTTCATCTGATCAAATAATACTGAGGAACCGCATCTTGGTCCCTCTTCAGTTTGTCCAAATACCATGTCCAGGCCAGCATGGCAGCTTCCACCCTGCCTTTGAGGCAGTCAGGTGGGACGAGGGTCCCTGGAGAAACTCCAACCAGCCTTCCGCCTGAGGTGGAGCCTCCAGAAGTCACACCTTTTGCAGCCAGGAGGAGTTTGGCCCCACCTCCTCCTGTTAGAAAGCTGGGATTCAAAGGGTCAGCTGGAAGCACTCTGGCAGGGGACCCTGGCCTGGCCTAAGATCCCTGTTTCTCCCTCTCCGCGTTTTTTTCCCATTTTGCCCAGTAATACCCTGCTTTACTCACCCTTTAAACCGTCTGCGCGCCTAAATTTTCATGGCGGTGGGACAGACAAGAACCCCATCTTTAGCTAAACCAAGGAGGAGTCCTGCAACATTTTTGGCATGCAGCGTGGGGGCTGGAGAAGCGGTGAGTGAAATGGGGATTCAAAACCTCTCACTGTTGCTCCTAAGCGTTTTCATCCTCGGACTTCTGCGTGTGGGAGAAACATGCCCCAAACACCGTTGCTCCTGTGGGTCAGGGGAAAGACCCTTTCCTTCCTTTTTGGAGACCGACAGGTGACGTTGGGGGCTTCTTGCTCCCCTGTCCTGTCCCTGCCGGGGCTAGGACGCGTGGCCCAAGGGCCCTGCACTCCTGGCAGTGGCAGCCTTCCCCTGTCCCAGTCAAGGGGTTTACTCTGTGATAAAGTAATTGAGCTAATCTCCCTGGTGGATGAACCACTTGCCTAAGAGGTTCTTCCCCCAGCATTTTTAAGCTGTTTTTTTCTTTCTTTCCTCTTCTCCATCGCCACAGCAGTTAACCTTTAATTTTTCTTTTCCTTTTTACTAGGCCAGGCCCCTTAACTACCACTGTTTATATTTTCTGCAAAGGTTTGGTTGTGAAATCAAGCCTGCATCTTGTGTTACATCCCGGGGTCATGGACAAAACTGCTTGGCAAGGCTATGGATAGTGATCCTGCCTTAGGGAGTAAATTTCTTTCTGGTTTGATAACTGCGTGTTCTCCTAGTCGTGTCTCAGGAAGAACCCTATCCAGAGACTGGGTTTTCTCCTGCCTGTTCATGTAGTTTTGTATGTGTGTGTGTATATGATGTCTGTTAAAAAACACTCAATTACTTTGGTCTACAGAAGGACAAGTGCTTGGATCTAATAGTTTTTAATGGAAAGTGAAAAGCTGTGGTCCTCTTCAGTTATGTGACTTTAATCTTTGAGAAGTAAAAATAGCCCTAAAGACTATTGCTAAAATGCAGATCACATGCAAGGTTTGCGAAGTGTTTTGAGGTTGCAAATTGCTGTTTGGGTTTTGAGAACTATTTGATAATTGGTAGGGCCTGGGAACAATGGAACTAACCCCACCCTTAATTGAGAAGAAAAACCTTGGTTGCAGTTAACACACAATTGAAGCGACTTACAAAGTTTTACCTTAAAGTTAAAAATTGCTAGGATTTACCATTATAACATATAATTGAGACTACTGATAGTAGATTTACATGCAAGGTGTGTAAGAAAAGTGTGTTTTTTAGTAAAAGGTTATAAGAAGGCATGGAAATGCAAATTTTTGCCTAAGGTTAAAGGATTGTTTTGAGTTAAATTAGGAAAAAGCTGAAAGTCCAATGAAGTGGTGGAAGAATTGTGGAAATTCATCTTGCAGAAGCGGTTCTGTGTGAACATATTAGCTAAATTCAAAGGGGTTGCAAAAGGTTTTTCCTTCTTTATATTTCTAAATCATTGTGGCAAAATAAATAACTTATGATAATCTGGAACCCTAGTTCATAATATCAAGTGTTTTAAACCTTGAACATTTAACAGCCTTCCCAAAATCAAACTTCAATTTCAAAATTGTCTTTTGAATACTTCAGAGGGCCCCTGAAGTGCCCAGAAAAGAGAGATAAATGGGATTATTTTGACAGGTACATGGGATTGCCAAAATGATCTTCAATCTTTAGGTTATATTTTTGGTAAATAATGCTAATACATATTCCAAAATTGTATGGGATTTCTAGAATTCTAATGTCTGAGTATATGCTATCATAATTAAGGTTATTTTGTTAAGGTATTGTAAACCACAGAGATAACCAAACTTCTTTGTCAATTGTGTTTTTAACTCGACTACCCTGGACGTTTCGCTATTCACAGACAATTGCCTTATTTTAATCCTTTTCAGAAGATGGTTTATAATGAGCTGCAGAATTTTAATAGGTGCTCTCAAATGTGGGCTTCAACTTTAAGGATTGTAACACTAGAATAAAGGAAAATGTGCAGGACTCATAAAGAGTTGCAATGTTCATGAATATCAAGCAAAACAAGAGTTAACTAAATATAGACTGAACTTAGAAAGCTGAAGCAACCTTTTTGACTTTTGGTTGGAATATTGCTGATCCTTGTGTTTCAGAGTCAAAGAAATTTATTTTGAAGTATTTGCAGCCTGTAATAATTAAGTAAGGTATATACAGCTGTGATCAAAATTTGGAGCATGTTTGTTTCTCTCTGCCTGGTTCCTCTAGAATTTGCAAACTGTGAGTATTCTTATGGCAATTAGTTGTTTGTGTCAGTGCAGTAAGAATTCATTTTTCCTTTGCAACAGGACACAATTGGAGAAAGTAGTTATTTTACTACGGCTTTGACTGGAAGGGTATGCTTCCCTTTAAGAAGTCAAGCTCGACTTGCAGAGCCAGTAAAAAGCCCCATGGGGAAACTGGCCTCATACCCTTGTCCATGCAGTCCCTGTACAGGGTTCCTTACCTGTGGTCAGTAAAGACTGTCACTTGCTGGGCTGGGCTTTAAAAGTTCTTTTTTTTTTTTTTTTTTTGAGACGGAGTTTCGCTCTTGTTACCCAGGCTGGAGTGCAATGGCGCGATCTTGGCTCACAGCAACCTCCGCCTCCTGGGTTCAGGCAATTCTCCTGCCTCAGCTTCCTGAGTAGCTGGGATTACAGGCACGCGCCACCATGCCCAGCTAATTTTTTGTATTTTTAGTAGAGACGGGGTTTCACCATGTTGACCAGGATGGTCTCGATCTCTTGACCTCGTGATCTACCCGCCTCAGCCTCCCAAAGTGCTGGGATTACAGGCTTGAGCCACCGCGCCTGGCCTAAAAGTTCTTATCTGTGATTCCTTGTGGAACACACTTCCATCAAAACCAATCCAAAAGGCTTACGTAGAAATAATTGTTCTTGCTATACTTTATGCAAATAATCAGGCCAAGTATAAGATTAAAGTCTATTTAAACAACTCAGTTCTAGGATCATCTGTTTGTTAACAAAATTGAGGACTGGGGAGAGAGAAATTATGTTTCAAAGCTTATATTTGTCATTAAATTCTAAACTCACTAGTTGTTTTTAAGCTTTTGCCTACATTTTAGACTAACCCTGCTTGTTCCTGTGAACTTACCAGTAATCTCTGCCTGTAGCTCAGAAAGAATGAAAGGGTGGGTAATGTAGAAATCTGGATCCATATTTTAGTTCTGAGCAATTATCCTCCAAATTCTGCCAGGTGTTGGAATAAATAGGGTGCCCATGATATGAAGGGTTCCTTTTTGGGAAAGACCAGGGGAACTAACCAGTGTCAAGCACAATGCGCCCGAATCCCAGCAAGCATAACGATAGCTGCAACTTAGCTGGGCGTGGCATAAGACGTCCTTTCCTCTCCCTTGTTGAAGGAGGAATCAGTTCCACAGTTTCACCTTAGCATTTGACTTATGATAGGGAGTCCATGCAACATCCCCAGAGACACAGTTTTGTCCCAGATCCAATTCCAAGCTTCGGGTCAAAGCCCTAGAAAGAAAACAATTTAAGGGATCCTGAGGTAGATGGCGACAGAGGTTAAAAGGCACAGTGCAGGTGAGTATGGTTGATTCCCGCCGATTAAGTCAACCACAAGCTTTCTGTTTCATGGATAAAGGCCACATTAGTATCCGTGGCATAATTGAGGTCTAGAGAACTCTAAGGCCACTGATCGTAGGAGGGATAGAAGCATAGGTGAAAGCAGATAATTCCTGTTCTCTGGGCCCTCCCTGCTTCATGGGTGCAAGCCACTTTGGTACTCATGGCGGTGCCTGCCAAGGTTGCTGGGACTCGAGGATGCAAGGACGAAGAGGGAAAGAGGATGCTCTTCCCTCTCTCCCTCATGTACCTTCGGTATGTGCTAGGAAGAGAAGGGAACCGTGGATGCCTGCTCCGCTCTTTCTAGAGGGGTGGCCATTCATCTTCAGTCTACCCCTTTCGAATTCATCCTCAACCATTGGGACTCTTTTGAAAAGGGCTTTCTTTTCCCTTTCTTCTCCTCAGTCCTTTCTGCAGTTAGGTAAGTTTCTTTCCATACTACAGGACGCTCCCCTGAGGTGCATCCTCCAAACTGGAAAGAGTTAATTTCCCAAACCTTCAACTGGTTGGCTTAGGATTGGGCTCAAGGGAAGGGAACCCAGAAGCTCAACATGGGGCAAATAGGTAAAGTTTTTTTGCCAGTCGGGCTTTTGACCTCCCTCTCCCTGAGCAAACTGGTAAAAGGCCTCAGATTTTTTGAGCTGCCCTTACCCCTCCCCTTGTTTCATTTTGCTGCATGTTTTCTGATAACCCAGTTTGTCTGTTCTTGCCTTCAGGCCATCAAACTCCAAGCAGTCATGCAACCAGAGCCTCTGACGATGGCCCCTTCTGCTGGGGACCCTTAGATAGGCCTTGGAGGGAGCTCTGACTGCTGTTTCCCCAAAACAGTGCCCCCGTTAGCAGGAATCAGTTAAGATCTGTCTCCGTCCTTATCCGTAATCTAATGGGAGTTAGATGTACTTCTTCAGAGTGGGGAATGAGACAGCCAGTTGGGAGGGGGGTCCCTGGAGAAACTCCAACAAGCCTGCCCATTGAGGTGGAGCCTTGGAAGTTGGTGCCCTTTGCGGTGGGGAGGAGCTCAGCCCTGCCTTTTCCTGTGTGGAACCTGGGTTTCGACTGTCAGGCGGGAGGTGCTCTAGCAGGGAACCCCAGACTTGCAGAGGATCCCTGTTTCCCACTTTTTTCCCCCGTTTCATCCAATAAAACCCTGCTTTACTCACCCTTTACATCATCTATGAGCCTAAATTTTCATGACCGTGGGATGGAAAAGAATCCCGCCTTTAGCTAAACTAAGGAAAAGACCTGTAACACCTTCTTACAGGGAACAAGTTTGTTTTCCAGATGGAAGACACTGCGCAATTGCATGCCTCACACAGGTATCTTGTCTTCCTTTTACAGGTTAACACCTAAAGGAGATAATTACTTAAAACCCATCATTTATTCCTGATGTTCCTTCTCATTTTATTTTTATTATTGATTGATTGATTGATTGAGATGGATTCTTGCTCTGTCACCCTGTCTGGAGTGCAGTGGCTCGATCTCGGTTCACTGCAACTTCTGCCTCCCAGGTTCAAGAGATTCTCTTGCCTCA